GTCCAGGGTGAGGCGTTCCTGCCCATGTCAGGGAGTTGGAACTAGATGATCTTTAAAGTGCTTTCCAACCTTAACCCTTCTATTCTAGTCTGTGTTCTACCAATGCTGCCAGTAAGTTTCAGCTTTGTTAAACAAACCACATTTTAGGTTTGTTTACAAATACATCCTGCAGCATTTTATAAACAACTCTAAATAGCTCCTTATGGTGTGTGAACATCTGCAAGTCTGTGCCCAGTACCCTGACAGTTTTCCACCGACTTTTGAAATCTCTGTGTTAATGGGAAGATAGAGTGGGCAGATCCCTTTCAGATCCCTTTCTGCAATGTCTTTTCCCAAACACTGGAATTCAGCTTACAGGCTAATGGTGTATATTAGGAAATCAGCTACAGTGTTTATGCTTGAAAATTCAGAAATGATTTAAGACAGGACAATTCCATTAAAGAAATTACATTTGCCTGGAAGACCAGAAGCACCAGTGGTGTGCTGTGTTATTTGAAAGACAAAGATTAAATAATACTGTTAATTATCCGATTTGACCTATTTTCAATTTCCTCATGGTAAAGGCAGTGAATTGGAAGTTCCCGTTATCAAAAAGGCTTAAATTTAAAGACAAATAAATTAGGTTTCCTAATTAAGGTCACCTAAAAGGAAGCAGTATGTTCCTGATACTAAAATGTATGCATGCCATATGGGAGTAAATAGTTTTAAAAGAAATATTCTTTTTTGAAGGAATACTCAAAAACTGTCTTTCAAAATAATCCAGCTCAGCACTATCAGATTAAAATCCATTAGAAAACACTGTAGAATTTACACAATTATCCTATCGGACCCTCCACATGCACATCTCTGAAATCACCATCTCAACACAAAGCAGTTTAGAAATGCTAATAAACACCCAGACTTTGAGCAGGGGTTCAGCATTCAGTGGTGGTTTGAAGCTCTCCTCCAGAAGCCAGGTCAGCCCAGCTGCGTGACTTAACATGGTGCTGCAAGGTATCTAGCATGACATGTAAATAAACATGGAAACCTACACATTCAGCTGGGAAATCTGTTTGTTCCGATAACAAGGATCTTTGGTCTAAAGACATATATTTATCCCCTGTCCAGAACTGTGAGTAAATGCTTTTTTTTGCTTTCACTATGATTTCAGTGATGAGGACTCAATGAAATATCAGAAATACTAATATCCACAAAATGACTAGCAGCTGTGGAATAACACATATTAGAACTGTCAATCCCAGCCTAATATGCAGCTGCCTCAGATAGGAAACTATTACAGGACTCAGCGATAACCTGTACCCTTTGATCATCAGACCTCTGGAAGCAAGTCTTCTGAAGGGAACAGAGATGTCTACAAGAATAAGAGTAACCTGGGGAGAATGAGATAACTAGCTGAATCCATGTCTGAAAAGTTAAACATTTTCATCTGGTTCATGGGTCAAAAAAATTACCAAATACATGCATTTTGTACTCATTTTGACCCAGTAATAAGGTTTGCTTTACTACAGAATTGGAAAAATAACATTGGTCTGGTTTTGAAAAAACTTAACTAAACTGGCCATCTTCTGTATCTTGTACCTTCCAAAAGCTTGAGACATCAAGGTCAGCCAAGCAGAACTACTGGAAGTCAAACCAAGAAGCTCCTGAAAGTAACTAAATAGTCTCCTCACTTTCATTCTCTTGCAGACTTCATTAGTGAAGGCTTAAGTTGCTTTTAATTTGGATTCCCAGCTTGAGACACGAAGGCTTCAGCCTGGAAACCCAAACAGAGAAGCATACAAATTCAGAGTTTATTGCAGAAAGCTGATTTAAGCGAGTTCTGAGGAACCAGCTATGACTATGGAGCCAACTGCAACAGGAAAATGATTGATTAATCCAGGGAAAAGTGAGTTGATTTGCAGCACACTATTCAGATATCCGAATGCAGAGACTATTTTAATGGATTAGACCAGATGTCTGCCCAGTCCAGTGAGCACAGCACCAGAATATGAACTGTGTAACAGACAGATGTGAGATAATCTGCCTTCCATATTAAATCTCAATCTCATTTGAAACACACAGATTGGCTTAAACCCTGATACAGAAAATGATGCTAAGAGTAACAGGATAAGAAAAGCTGATGGTAGTCCCTCTTCTGCAGTACTATGTGTAATTCTGTGTGACACAATCCCCCTCACCAACAAAATAGTTTAAAAATTTGCAAGAACTACTACAGAAACAAAAGTCTTTTACAGGAAAAAAGAATGGAAATATGAAAAATACCCTGTATATATGGAAATAGTAAGTATATTTACCAGTATAAGAAACTTAATAGAATTACTTTCCTATAACAGAAGAGCAAGGAGATACTAACAAAACTGAAAATTTCTTACATTAAAAAGGATATGCTTTCCAGAAAGCATAATTAATATACAAAACATCTTGACACCGTGTATTTTCAAAGCTAACAGTTTAGAGGTGTTGTAGAGCACCTTAGCTGTATATAACTCAGTACCAGGTAATCTTTAGGAAGAAACTTAATTTCTTTAAGTAAGTGCACATCATATTTTTTTCTGACATCTTTCCTTGTCACTGGCTCTTTACTAACACAGGTTACTGAAATAAACCAGTAATGAATGGTCCATAACAGTAATCTGTGTTGCTACAGAGCATGGATAAGTTACCTTTAATTCCTCTGTAGGTCAGTTTCCGCATCTGAAAGTTACAAATAACAATCAATATTCCAACATGGGAAGACTTAGTTATTACTCATGTTTTCTGATCCAGGAATACAAGCATGATGTTGCTCTAAAAACTAAACAGAAAAGTATAATATAGTAATATTGACTAAATTAATTTATATGGTTTAAACATGTTCACTCCTTCTGTAATGGCTTTATTCTCCTTGCATCCATACATAAAAAATGTACATTAGTGCCAAATGTAGGTTCATCTATCTCCTAATGCTACATTCCTGTATGTCCTAAAGACTGGTCCAGGTCTGACATGTCATGAAAACACACTAAGCAGTCAGGATGCACCAAGAACATCACCCAGTTATGTTACATGCACATCAGCAGTGTCAGTGTCTCCCAGCACACAGGGATCAAATAGGTTCTTCTGGGGATCTGCCAAGGATCCCCTTAGTGTCAGAGGAGACACTAAATCAAAGTGTAGGGGGAAAAAGGCAAAAAAAAAACCAAAGCACCCCACCTTTATTTTTCCACAGCCTACTTTCCATGTCCTTTCTTAAAAAGGGCCCAGATCAAAAGTTTGCTTCCCAGGTCCCACTGATGTCTGAAAGTTTTGGTTCTTTTTCCTATCTTTTCAGTTCTTTGCATTTTTAATCCTCATCTGGTTTCTCAAAAAAAAGGATCTCCAAATTAAGGCTTCCAAAAAGGCCAGACAGATATTGCTAAAATAAAACCTACATTTATAAAGAACATGCAACAAAACATGGTTTGAGCACAAGCTGAAACACATTTAGGAGAAAATCAGCGATTAGCTGCAATAGTTAGATGTGGAAAAAATTCTGGACAAGGTTAAAAATAAAAAGCAAATACCACAAAGCTGCAGATTTAAATACTATAGCAGAGAACACAATATAAGAGTAAGTTTATGAATTAATCTGGAAACAGTAGGAAAGTTACATTATATGTTAAAGAAAGTAACAATGGCACAGGCATGGGCAGATGAAGCAGGTAGGAAACCTGACAAAGTCAAAGAGTCACTGGAGTTTTGTTTCCTGTTTCGCAGCGCAGTCAGAAGTGATCTGCTGTGTTTAGTGTTGCACAACAACAGAGCGGATGAATATAATCACCTGCCTCCTGGACAACTTTAATGTACAATAAACTTTAATGTGGTTTCAGGGGTTCATAAACAGCATGGCTGAACACAGGGAATTCAAGAATCATATGGCCAATCCGTTTAGAGGTAGCCTTTGTAGTATTGCTTCCTAGAGAGCATTTCACATATTTATCACTTTTTTTAACCTTAAATGGCCCCAAAATCCAAAACCAGTTCTATGGATAACGTATCTTCATTTGTAGCCACTTCTGAAGCTGAAAAGCACAGGCACAGCAGCTAACACAGCAGGTGAGGAAAATGTAATTTTGGTCCAGGAACCCAGATAATTTATGTATGATGCTGTGAGATACTAAATATTCAGGAAAACTGCCATTATCATTCTTTCATCCTCCAATTGTTAGAATCTCTAATTTTCATAACTGATTTTGGGGGCTTCTGTTTTCCCGTGGGTTGGAAAAGACCTTAACTGTGTTTTGTTACAATAGGAAAGACGCCTGTACCAAGAGGATCCTCATCAGTCCTTAGGAAACACAAAACTTCAGTCTCACAAACTTATCTTCACATACACAGTTAGAGCCATTGTTAACGCATCCTCAATAGGAAGAATAACATTTGGCACCTTCCTTTAAAAGACCCTCACAGAGTAAGTTATGTGAGATGTAAGGTTACAGCATCCTGCCTCTCTGCAGCCTCTGGGGACAGGCCCAGCAGCACTTGCAGGTCAGCCCCCAAGGTACCCTCGCTGTGGTGCAGTTTCAATCCCAATCCTGCCTTCGCATATTAGTTTTCCATTCTAAATAAAGGACTTGTGTGAGGGGAACTCCTCTGCACCATCGTTTTGCTCTTCACCACCGCTACCTGTGCCCCCTGCGAGGGGAGGAGGGCGCACAGGGCAGGCTACCGCACCATCAGCTCCTTCCCCACGGCCACCTCTCCCCCAAGTGTCTCCCCTGAGTGTCTCCCAGACACTCCTCAAGCCCCAAGGGATAGTGCCTTGCCCTCCTCCACAGCTCCCTGGGCAGGGGCCTCTGCCCTGGCCCCTTCTGCACCTCAGTGCCCTCGGCCGGGTGGCACTTCCCTCCCCTTTCCCTGAGAGAAGCGCTCCGTCTCCTGCACTCCGCTGCTTTGCAGCTCCCATTTACTGCCAGAAGCCCCTGGAGAAGGGGGGCTCTTCCCCTTCTCCCCCCGCCCAGAAGACTGCGGCTGACACTGACCCGTCTCTGCCGTCCTGCTCCTCTCCGCCATATTTGTTGTCATCCCCCTACCCCCCCCACTCGGAGCGAGACGCTGCCTGGGCGTCGCCATGGCAACACACGTCACCGCCAGGGGAGTCCCGCACCGCCCGCCCTCCCTCAGGCCGCCATGGTGGTGCGGGAAACGGCGGCAGCGCCCGGGGAGAGCGCTCCCAGCGCCCCGGGGAGCCGCGATGGGCTCGGGGCCGAGGAGCATCTGCTGCCGGTATCGTCCAGGCCGACGGCCGCCCCTGCGTGGGCGGGTGGGGCGGCTGTGCGTGACGGGAGCGGCGCAGCGTGAGGGGCGGGAATGGCCGTGCGGGAGGAGAGCCCCGCCGCCGCTGCCGCCGCCTGGGCTCGGTGCAGCGCTGTGGCTGCTGGTGTTTACAAGCACTGCCAGCCCGGGGAAGGACCGGCTTGTTATCTTGTCCCTAGTGACTGTCTCTGCCCCGGCAATTACCGTAACAGCGCCCCGGAGGACGGGCAAGAGCCGGTACCTGAGCCCCCGCCTGGGCCTCGCTCCCTGCCCGCGGGGAGCCGGGCCTGGCCTTGCGGTAGTCACAGGGCTCCGAGGAGAGGCTCACTGTGGAGTCGCCATCGTCCACATCGTTGTGAGCTCTCCACCCAGATCAGGACGCAATCAGAGCTCTGCGACACGGAGGGGGTGAGGAGGGGCCTGACGGCCTGTTTGGGCGAGGGGTCCCTGTCATTCCGCTGGGGAGGGGAGTGCATCCCTCCGGCTCTGGTTTCCCGCTATAGTGCAGTGAGGTGGAGCACGGGGAGGCACCCACTGGGCAGAGATGGCAAATTCATGTGTGTGTGACTGCCCCAAAACTCAGCAGGTGAGTGATCATGTGGCAGTTACGTCAAGTTTCTTGGTTTTAATTTCTTAAGGCAGCTCAGTGGGAAGCTTCATTATGTGTGTGTTTCCTGCCTGTCTCCTCACAGACCTAGCAGGTGAGCCTGACCATATGGCAACTACAGTGATGTTTTCTGGGGATGGGAGGGTTTCAGAGAGTGTGCGTGTGCGTTCACAAACCCACAGGGCAACACTCACCATGTGGTGTATACAGCAATGAAGTCTTTGGTGCAAAGGGGCTAATTATTATGTGTGTGTTTCCCAAGAGACCAGCAGGTTGGGTCTGATCACATGTGATCACTAATGCAAGCCTGAGAGGGAAACTGCATTGCACATCCTTAACGCAGACAAACTCCAAGCTCTCAGAAGCGAGGCCAGCCATGGGAAAAGCACAGTGTTACAACTGCAAGCATCAAGGCCTACAATCCTGTATATTTGCATACAGGGGCAGATGAGGTGGGGGGTGAATGCACCCCAAACTGGGTAGCTGTTAAAACTCTGAAACAGGGAGTAAGTGTGCAGTGCTAAGGGATGGAAATGGGCAGCACTGTGTTTATGGCTCTACACACAAGTGTTTGCTTTCTTACAGCTAGTAAATTAATGTCACCATTTCCTACTGACCCATGACTAGTCAGTGAAACACTCCAAGCTTAAAAATCAAGGCAGGTAAAATTGTGTCTTTCTCCATCTGAAGTTCTGTTCTTTATAATCACGTTACCTCTTTGTCTGGTATGTGCCCTTTTTGCTCCAGTTCAGCTCTTCTTAACAAGACACATGGATGATACCTGCAGGTTCTACATGCTTAGATTTTTCTGTAGGGTCCTTTCTCCCTGGCTGTTGTGGCCTTGTTCCTTCTTATTTCAGTTCACAGTTCTCTGGTTATTTCTGCAGCATCCCTTTTTGTGGTTTCTCTTCCTTTGCTGATTCCTTTCTCAGTGGCACTTAGGCCTCTTTCCTTCACCTACTTCTCTTCACTCTCAGGATCTTATTTTAGTACTATGTAAGCTAATTCTGCATTACTTTAGCCACATTCCTGTGCCAGTGACTCGATGAAACACGTCTAAACTGGTGTAGCAAGGGGGCTTTGTGATGGATTAGAAGATACACCCCTGCACTGAAGAATACTGGAGTGCAGATATTGTTCTTTGCTTAGCAAGGCCCATCCAGATCTAAGCTCTGGGAAGTATTTTTTAGACTTCTCCCTCTGCAGGCTTCATAAACTAGAGGTGGTCACCAGCATACTACAGAGGCTGACTTGTCTCTCTGCTGACAGTGAACTACAGTGATTTCACACCCCACTCCCCCCCTAGTCCTCTCTCACTGTAGTCTAGCTACAGTGCTACGAGGCTAGCAGGTCACCCAGGCCCTATGCTCTTCCCTGTTTGTTGCTGGGCAAATAATCCCAGGACATCCCTCTTCAAAAGATGCTGCATGTACTTGGATCTTCTTCTGTCCAGATCCTGTGGCTGATTGTTTATATTAAATATTCTTGCACATCCATAAAGAAACATCATCAGCACCAATTCAGGCTTAACAGAGACATGTTCTCTCCTGGAACCTCTCCATGTATGTGTGCTACAGTACCTCCTACCTGTCTATGTGTCACAGAAACATCGCCTTGCTGTTTCTTTTCCTCTTGTCCAGTGTGTTAGCAGGTCTGTCTTTCTCTTCCTATATGAAAAGGTGACCGACCACATCTGTACCAGTAGCTAGGACACTTCTTACGTCTGGTTATTCTTTATCCTGCTACAACCCAGTTCTTCTAGGTTCCCTGATAGCCATGTCCCATCCCAGTCCTCCTTCAAATAATTTCTCATACTGCTTACCACTTTATTCTTTTATCTGAACTTTCTTTTTGTTTTTTAGGTCTCAGACAGGTCTGCAGCTCTAGTCTGGTTTCTTATCATGTTCCCATGTCCCCTTATTCCCTTTGTTCTACTTGCTATTTCAGCTTTAGTATCCCCTCATCCATATTTCATCCCTATCTATTAATACTCATATAGCATTTTTCATCTGTAAATTTCTAAGAATGAAGTGCCTGTAGAGAAACCTTCCATAGCAGTTCTTCACATGACCTCTTTATTCACATGAGAGACAGACTCACTTCTATGGTAACCACAAATACTAATTCAAAGGACTTTGGCATCTAACTGCCATTCATATTACCTCAGCTTAGATACCTGCAAGAAGGTCTGCTGAGATCCAAGACAGCTGGGGGAAGGCACTTTTTCCAGCCAAATTAGCTCTTCTGAGTTAACTCACAGTTGAAAAACCTAGAAATGCCACACTCATTTTTTTTCGTCTGAGTTTAATGCTACGTTATATTCACCTCACCAAGCTGAAATGGTGTTAAATATAGATGACATGCAGTCTTTCCAAAAACAGTAAGATAATTTGACAGAGAGAAGTGGAAAGTTCACACAGAAAGTTCTTTTGAAAATAGATAACTGAATGGTGTACCTTGGAGAATAAAGGCTGAAGAAGGGGGAAATAGCATTCAGGAATCACAGAATGGTTTGGGTTGGAAAGAACCTTAAGATCATCCAGTTCCAAGTCCCCTGCCATGGGCAGGGACACCTCACACTAAACCATGTCACCCAAGGCTCTGTCCAGAGTGGTCTTGAACACTGCCAGGGATGGAGCATTCACCGCTTCTTTGGGCAACCCATTCCAGTGCCTCACCACCCTCACAGTAAAGAACTTCTTCCTTATAGTCAATCTAAACTTCCCCTGTTTAAGTCTGAACCCTTTACCCCTTGTCCTATCACTACAGTCCCTGATGAAGAGTCCCTCTGGCATCCTTTTGGGCCCCCTTCAGATACTGAGAGAAGCAGTTGCTCATTTTTGTGTATGCATTTTATATATATTTGTATAAGGGTGCTGCTTGGTGCAAAGACATCTCTGGTCCCTGACCTTCCAAAGCTAGTAATTTTGGACATCACAATACAACAAGGGATAACAGAACACCACTGGGAAACTCTGCTGCCATGGTTAGCTTCACATTTATTGTTTCAACCATATTCCTTATCTCAGTGTATCTTTGGCATCTTCACAAGCAAAAGCTGCTTCATTTTTGTGGCTCTTTACAGCTTATTCCCACCCTGTTATCTTTTAATATCCTATGGATAAATCAACGTCTTCCCCCCACACGTTTCATTCAGTAATAACTCGCTACTTGTTACATTTTCAAACCAGCACCTTCATGCTTTCCCTTGCTGCTGCTTCTCACTCCCACTCACCTAATTTTCCTCCTTCAAATCCCTCCCTAAAAATCTCCTGTGCTGTGATGTCTACTGAAGGAATGATAATGAACAGTCAGCTGTGTGCCAGGAGTACTGTCTGTCATGGTGACTAGTGTCGTCTTACTCTGATCTGTCTCTTGCATCTACTTCCCATGCTGGACTTGAAGCAGGGCCCCTCTTCTCCAGAACTCATAACTTCTGGAGCGGACTCTTAAAATCCAACCTTTAAACAAATACAAATAAATTGAGGCAATGGCAATAGAAACACAAATGGAAATGCTGGCCAAACCAGGTTTAATTCAGTGATGATTCATCAGCTCAGGTAAATTTGCATAAAAATTAATGTGACTGACGACTCCATTACAAATATTGAGAAGGAAATGATTTTTCTAAATACAGGTTTGAACTATTTTTGTATTTATTTGTAATCCATAAGGACTTGAGTATGTTTTACTTTTATGTCTGTGCTTATATTTGAAACATTAGATACTCAATTTTTTATCTTTTGTCTACAGCCCCCAAGACTGTGGTGAGTAGAGAACATGAGAACGTGTAATACCACAGGGCAAAGACTGAAAGTAAAGTACAAAAGATTTCTGATCCCTTTGGTTTGGTTTTCTTTTTTTTTTTTTAACGTCAATATAATTGAAACGTGTTGAAGATACAGTGATTTGCATTAGACATTCAATACTTTCGATTCAACTAGAGGTGACTTCTGTCAATACATAGCTGTCAAAACCCCAAAGATCTTTCACGGAGATCAATAAAAATCCAATTTTACAATCCTGAGATTTTCTGTGTTCAAAAAATGGCAAAAAAAAACCAAAAAAAAAAACAAAAAACCCAGCCCCAAAACATCCCTTTCTACACACTGCAAAAAAGCCAGTGAAGTGTGTTACTGATTTTTCACACATGGTTCTTAAATACCTGTTGAGGCTGGATAAGAACAAAAAGATTGAGTATTAACGTAACATTTGCATGCATTCCACACACCATGTATGTGGTATGGTGTATGGTATGGTTCTTCAAAGTGAGGATGTAAAACGTGAGGTGTAATTGTGTAGAAATCATACAGTTTCTTTGGGTTTTGTATCACTTTCCCTGTGTAGAATAAAGCAGTGCAGGCATTCAAGGGTATGTTCAATTGGTAATTCAACATTACTGTCGGAGACAAGGTCATGACAATGTTTCTGCTACAAACAGCACATTGATGTTGGCTGTGCAAGCAGAGTGGGTACAATTTGAATGAAAATATAGAAAATTAGAAAAAAAATAAAAGACCAAAAGGGAAAAAGAAAATATCTGATCATGTTTTTAGCCAGATCTGCTGCATTCAGGCAGAAAATTAAATCAGGTAAACTAAAAAAGAGACAAGATGAAAATCCAAAGCCCAGACTGAGGTAGCAAAAGTAAGTGAGTTTCTCAACATGCATACATAGTGGAGGAATGCTATAATCTTATTCTTGTAACCTCAATCCACTCTTCTCCCAGCACTTACTGCTCTCATTAGTTAGGAAATATCTAAAAGCAGATAGTAAATTTCTTGTGTGAGGACAGTCTCTTTAATGTATTCTGAACATGCCTCGTATAACTTCAGCGGTTCTATACAAAAATAATATTACCTCTTGGGGTTTTCTGTATTATTTCTAAGCACAGGAAACATTAAAATGCAGCAAGTCCAGAAAGGTCAAACTGTATCTCCCCTCATTCTGCGCAGGACTTCAGAAATGATCAAAAGGTTACGCTGATACAAAACCTGAAACACCATGATCACAAAACTTGCATCAATTTGTGCCCATGCAGGCAAAGCATCATCTCGTTTCACTCCTGAAAAATGATTTTATTTTACATTTTATAGCTATTTGGAACTGTTTGTTCCTAATGACTACTCCTCACAGATGTGCATCACTGTAGTGTAATTACACAGAGACACTGTCAGCCTGAAGGAACCCAACCTGTAAATTACACCCATACTGAGTATGGAAGGTGAGTGATTTGTGACTTGGGATTTGGAAGGCTGCCTTGCTTTCCTGCTCTTCCACCACCATTTCTGAGCTGGTAAAAGCAGGAGACTGCCAATGTGTAGCGCTTGCTCAGACACACTTCCTTCCTTTTTCATTATTCCTCTATGTGGGGCAGAGCTTTGATGAGGGCTCGGTTGCCAGTGTGTGCTTAGGCTCTGCATTTGACTAGGGAAGGAAAGAAAAGTCAGCGCCAGCCACCTGGGTGCAGAATGGAAGAAGAAATGTTACCCAAGGATGGGAGTAAACCCCTGCTATTAAAACCAGGTATTTTAAAGTTATTTTAATAAAGAACCTTCATAAAGTTCCAGTCAAAAAGGTCAACATGTGCATGACAAAAGTGCACTTTACCTGGGAAAGGTGAAGGGCTAAGTCAGTTCTACTGGGGTTTGAATGTGTGAAGAAGAATTTGAACATGAGCAAGGCAGTGGAGGAACTTCAAACCTGCAGTATAATGCTAAGGCAGAATATTGTGCCTGTCAGAGGCAGGTAGAGGGGACACAAAGAACTCTTCCAAACCCTGCAGCTCCCTGGAAGCCCTCAGCTAAATATGCTCTGGTACTCTGCAGATGTTTCCACGGGGTCTGAATGATACAGACATGGTGGCAGTGGTTACTACCCCCAGACTTAAGAAATTAAGATACACGCTTGTGTGATGTTTTCATGTATTTCTCCAAAAATAAGTCTTAATTTTTTATGAATATTTCTGATTATGGACATTTTCTAGACTCTGTCCTTTATTTCTATATACAGGCACATTTTATGCCCTGCATTTTAATCTGTAAACCCTACAGTTCTCCTCTTTCAATCCTTTTCAACATCTACTCCTTTAAAATTATTTTAATGTAACTAGTGAACACCTAAAGATGAGAGAATCAGAACCGATTATTTGACCCCCAACTGAAATTTAATTCTTCAGAAGGAAGGAGAGTTCATAATGGATTTAGGAACCATGTCAAGTGCCATACTGTAAATTCATTATTTGGTTTTAGTTACAATTTCTCAAAGTACTAGTGGCACAGAAAAAGGAGCAGGAAATCACTGAGAGACAATCACTACATGTGGCAGCTGGGAGAGAGGAGGTAAACTGAAATTGCAGGAATTTACTTTAGACTGTAATAGGCTTATGTTAGCTAACACATGGCAACTAATACACAATAAAATCGCAGTGCAGAAGGGCCATTTTTAGTTTTCACATATTAACAGATAAAGGGGGCCTGCAAAAAAAGCTGGAGAGGGACTTTTTACAAGGGCCTGTGGGAATGGCTTTAAACTGAAACAGAGTATATTTAGATTAGACATTAGGAAGAAGTTCTCCACTGCGAGGGTGCTGAGGCGCTGGCACAGGGTGCCCAGAGAAGCTGTGGCTGCCCAGTCCCTGGCAGTGTTCAAGGCCAAGTTGGACGGGGCTTGAAGCAAGCTGCTCTAGTGGAAGGTGTCCCTGCCTGTGGCAGGGGGTTGGAACTGGATGAGCTTTAAGATCCCTTCCAACTCAAACTATTCTGTGATTCTATACCTGAATCTCACTCCTCCTGTATAATGGAATATTACTTTCTGGCAGGTAAGATTTTAAGAGCTTTTATATTCCAGGTGCTATTTCCAAGAGCTGGTTCCTAAGTTGCCATCACTTTTATGTGTACTCTGAATATGAAATCAGCTTCCTTTCTCTGGTACAGCAGCCACCATCCTGAGTCCATCAGTTTTCAAATGGAGTATTTCAATGCCATGGGAAAAAGTAGGAGCAAGAGATGTCATGGGTGGGGAGACTTCTTTCCAACCTGGTATTTTATGCTGATTCTGCACTAACTATGGCAGGATTGGACACAACACTGGTAACCCAATGTCACCTTAACTTACACCATCCTAATGGGGTCATGATTTTGAATCACTTCAGAGGCCCACTGCAGGGCAAGAACTGATTTGGTTTCCCAAGTCTCAGGACCTCCCTCCCATACAGTAAGCAACAACTTTTAAAGGGAGATGCTGCAACCAACCAGTGAACCAGGGAATGACAGAAATAATGGTGAAGCAACCCAGTATAACAGTGTGCTCTTCCAGAGATTTACACAACAGGCAGGTTTTAAAACAAACATAAGAATAGATGCTATTTAATTAGGACCTTCACAGAAAAACATCTGGTATAATTGGTTAAGGGGAAGTCTTTACTCAGGCAACATTTATTGGGATATAAACAATGTCCAATTGTAAAAGCTAATTAAACAGCAGGGCTAAGGTAACAGAGAGTTTTGCCTGCATGACTAGGATATAAGGTTTATAATCCATGCTGTTATGGGACAACAGCAGCAAGAACAAATAATTGTGTATCCAAAAAGTCAATTATGCCCTTCTTTTAGTAATAACATGCTCCAGAGGTCACAGAAGACTTGTTCTTTAAGTAACATAGCCAGTTCTCAATAGAATCTGAAACTTGATTACTGTTCCGTGTTTGTTAGGAAATTAAAGTGGCAAAACAAGCCTGATGGATAGTCCACCCTATTCAATGGTACATTACTAGCCCATCACTGACAAGCTGTAGGTACCCCGATGGCCTTTGCTTTCACAGAGCAAACTCCATTTTGAGCCATCTTCCCTGTAGCAGTTTCCAAGGAACTTGCATCGACCATGTATTATTTCAAAATGTACTTTTAAAAAAGCTCATTTACAAGTAATAGGGATATTTTTATAGATACATATTAGTTGAAATAATGCAATTTAAATGGCAGGTACAGACACATCCATGTAGCTACAAATTCAGTGACCAATCCATCTTGCAGAGTTTCCTCAGAGCTTCTTCAATGGGTGACAGCCTGGGTTCACCTGACCCCTCCAGATTCCTCCAGGTTACCCTTGGGAAAGCCTCCACCTTCTACAGCACATCCAGGGTTGTTTCTACTTGGCAGCGCTGTACCTGCTGTTACAATCCCTTCAAATGCAGTCTCTGTAACAAAGAAAATTCTGCTTTATTCACTCTCTTCTTGCTTATCTTCTTTGCACTGGTGGAATGATGTACTTCTGCAAACTGGAAGGAAATGAAGTTTCAGAGGCCAGGCAGATACTCCCTCCTCTGTGAAGAGAGGGATATTTTCCCCTGAACGCTGCTCTATGCACCGTGGGGTTTGAGAAGCACATACTATGAACAACTACAACAGAGAACTCTTCTTCCAAACCAATGATATCCACAAGAGCCTTTCATCCTTTTTTTTAAATAGTTATCTTGACACAGAACTGGCTGCAGTGAATTTGCTGTACTTTCCTACTAGGGCATCAAGCAACTTGAGACGGCTGCGTGCTGAGCAGCAATACACAAACACACTGAAATCTTAAGCTACTCAATGGCCTTTTAAAGTGCACAAAATTTTCTCACAAACCAAGTATCTGCAGCTAGTGGAAAAATTAACTTCCAAAACTTTACATGTTTTTTAAATTCCTAGCCTCTAGCAATGTATTATAATGTAAAAACTATGCTCAAAACCTTATATATTTTCACAATAATTTTTACTTTAAATAATTTAATTTACTGCCTTTTAGATTGGAAAGCAGCAAGGACAATTTCAAACAGGAACTTCAAAACCAAGATAGAACCAAAGACTTTTTCAGGATGAAAGAACACATGTAAGGAGGATCAAGACCCTACAGTGAGATCAGCCATTAGCTAATTAAATATGTGACTAAAATTCATCATTTTAAATAGCAGTCATATTGATGGGGAGCAATCTGGTCAGCAAACAAATGATAGTGGATTTTTTTCCCCCCATATCTTCAGAGAGAAACATTTATCTTAATAAGATTCACTATGCCATAATACACGCGGAATAAGTCAATGCTTACTAATTAAAGGACAGTGTCAACCTGATTTTCTAAACAGCTAATTAAAATATGTAGCATCGAATACTGCACTTCTTGCAAAGTATGCTGTTTAAAAAATACATCCCTGTAAAAGTTACTTGTTTTCCTATTCCCTTGTGTTTGCTTTTTTAATTGGTTTTTCAACAAAGGAGGATCTGCTGAACCAAGGTTCTATTTCTGTATCCAGTTCCATTAACGCACACCCCCGTACTTAGGTTGTAGGCCTGAAAGGCTAGGCAAGGAAAGAACGACACTAATCCGAAGGGTTTGCTGTTGGTGCTTTTGCAAGGATGACAAGATTTTCTCTCTCTCTTTTGGGGGGGATTTTAGGTAATGTAGATGTTACTTGAAACTGTAAAATTTTCAAAGAGAAATGTTATTTTCCTATTGATGAGGAATCCTTAACCTTCCATTTTATAGATTAGTTTCTCAGAATAAGCAGGCTTTTGTGTTTCTTATTCTGATTCTGTATGTAGCTTTTTCAAGAGAAAGAAGTTGTTGTAGATCTGTCAGCAAGGCTCTGGGAGTAGGAGGATGTTTGGATTTCCGGCATATTGCAACGCAGTTCTTGGCCACCAGCAAAGCTCTGTGTGTGAATTTCATTTTATATCCGTTGTTTGCAATACCACATATTTTAAGAGACATTTGAAATAGTCTCTGTACTCCTAATCCTAGATAAGTAATCACAAATCATTCCCTAAAGGAAACCGAGAAGGCAGAATACCTACTTTTACGTAGCTCATGTCATGAGACTGTGGATGAAATGATGCTGTCACAGAAATGGAATTAAATCTGTTGTATATTGAACAATTTCAGTCTGCATTCAAAGTTCTTAGCTCAAATCAGCCCATTGTTTGCTATGTTTTTTCTTTCTAGATTCAGATGTAACAGTATTTTGAATGACACACTTTTTGCATTAAAACATTATCAGCCAGCTAATTTTATTACTCAATTTATTAATATTTTAAAATGTGTATTTTTGCCATGCAGAAATCTGACACAGTAAATGATGAACTCTGTGACTGCTAATTAGTTTTAGACCTGGAAGTATATGGAGCTCGTCCCCAATTCATATTTGCATTATTCTTTTCTCTGAAGATCACCTGAGGAACCACTCCCACTACTTCTCCTTCTTTTCGATCCTCAACCAATATATAGAAAACATCATTTCCCCATCCAAGGCATATGCAACAGCCTTCAGAATGCATCAGAATAGATATTTCCTCAGTTGGAAGAATCACTGCATTATTGGTATGAGGTCCTGCCTGCCCTGGGCAGCATAAAACAAGCTTGGGATTTCTGAACATTTTGCCTTCTCCGGCAAAGGTGATTTTGTTATGTGTTAACTAATACGTTATAAACACAGCTTCTCCTTTCACTTCCTGTGCCCTTCCATAGGCAGGCACTCAGCTCCTCACAAACTGCAGTGAAAATTCAGTGGGTGACCAGAGGCTTTAGCAATCTCTACACAAAACAATGAATTGAAACCAATCCTTTCAATTGTAAATAATTCCAGAATAAAAAAATAACTAAGAGTTGCATTGACAACGACTTAGGAGTGCAAAATACTGTAACTGTCTGCATTCTGCAGTGTTAACAGGAGTTAAAACTTGGTTTAGTTATTAAAGTAATCAGGTATGAATCAAAGAAACCTCAGGAGATGCTGTTGTTGAGGAAGCAGATACTATTTTCACACAAACAAGCATTTTTCTCATTCTAACTTCATCTTAATGGGTATACATCTTTAATAAACAAAACCATTATTTTGAATTGTATCAAGAAATTTCCATCTTTAATACTGCTCCAATAAAAAAAAAATACTGAAATGCTAAAAGCATTTTGTTTTTTTACACACACATCCAGCATTGCCATAATGCAATCTTGTAAATGCCAAAAACGCGGAGCCATGATCTATAATTTTAAAATGCCAGTGATTTCCAAGCTGTCACTGATCTTGGAAAATTTCCCCAGTAGCATGGGGAGATCAATAACTGTTTATAGACTTTTTAGTCCCAGTTTATAGGGAATGTGTAACTACGGACTATGTCAAATCTCTTAACTGAGAAGTGAAAGACTTGATTTCATGCTTAAAACTACCCAAAAACCCATAATGCTAAGAAAGGCAAGAAGGATGATCCAGGGAACTACAGGCCGGTCACTGCCTGCTTGCTCTCTGGAATAATAATGGTGCAAGTGCAGCAGCCATTTCTGAGGAAGAAAGAAAACAAGGTGATTAGAAACAGTGTCCAGCATGGATTTCCCAAGTTTGCCATGCTTGACCAAGCCTAATTACCTTCAGTGATGAAATGGCAGGATGTGCAGACAAAGGAAGAGCAGTAGGTGTTGTCCACCTTGACTTCAGAGAGGCTTTCAGCATGCTCTCCCCTAGAACACTTGTATCCGAGTTGGGACATTACTGTGTGGATGGTGGGGTTACTGCTAGATGGGTGAAGACCCAGCTTTACGGGCACAATGGGCTAATGATTCATATTCCAATCGACAGCTGGTTACAAGTGTGGTCCTTGGGAGTTTACCATTCGACCTACAACACTGAGTATCTTTATCAGTGGTCTGGAGGAGAACACAGAGCACGACTTGGTCAGGCTTGCAGAAGGCACTGAACTAGGAGATTCCATTGGCACTCTGAAGATCAGAATTGTCATTTAGGGAGAAGTACACAGGCTGGAGGAACAGACTGACAGGAACCTCAGGAACCTCAACAAGGATATGTGAAAAGTCCTGCACTTGGGACAGGCTAGTCCCCTACAGTGGTACAGGTATGGCTGAGAAGCAGCTCTGCAGAGGACACAAGGGTCCTGGTGATGTTGTGGACTACACACAGGTCAGCAGTGCACTCCAGCAGCAATGAAGGCTAACATCATATTGTGCTCTGCCAACAGATGCATCAACAGTAGGTTGAGAGAGATTTAATTATTTCCTTTCCCTCTGTATTATTCAGGCTGGTTTTGTATCTGGAATATTATGGGGGACTCTGTATATGAAAGATTCTGGTAAGAGCATTAAGCAGACAAGCACTGAGATGAGTAGAGGGCTGAAGCACTTGCTCTTTGAGGAAAGCCTGAGAGACAAGGGCTTACTTATTCTTGCTTGCTTACTGGAGAAGAGCCAAGTTCCAAAACACCTAAAACCAACCAGCCCGTACTTAAAAAGAGATGACCAAAAAGATGGAGCTAGGCTCATTACTAAGGTGCAAGTGGATATAAGGGAAAGCAATTAAATAAAAGGCTACTTAAGACTGTGTCTTAAGTAGCAGGTTGCCCAGTGAGACTGGGGAGTCTCTGTCCTGTCAGGTTTTCAAAATTTCATTGCAGCAAGGCCTGAACAAACAGATGTGTTTTCAAACCGATGCTGACCCTGACCTGAACAGGAGTTTGCACTAGAAAGCTTCTCAAGGTCCCTTCCAGCCGAATGATTCTATGACTCCAAGTACACGTAAGAGTGTTTTCAGAGTTCCCATCCATCCCATCCTTAGGGTTGTCACTTTACATGCGTAGTTATGGGCTGATGTCAAAAGAAAGTAAATTAACATGTCCTCCTCATCTTTTATCTCAGAAGCAGGTTTAAGATCAATATTCTGTGAGTGCTCATCCTAAATTCCACTCCAAGGTTAATGCATCCTATTACCAGAAAATACCTTTTACTCACTATTTTTCCTTCCTTGCACACATACCCATGTGAAAGGGGATAAGAATTTTGTTGTACCATGAACCCTTTCTCTTCTGGATCCAGATGGTTTTCTATTTGATATTTTACAGAAGAGATACTGAAAAACAATTTTATCTTTGATTATGTCTCTTTACAGCTTATTCATCAATGGTTTTCATTGTAGTAGATCAATTCTTTTCTATGCTCATCCATTTCTCAGTCTTCTGTTTCATCTGATTTTTCATCAGCTGAATCTTTGCCTTGTGTAACTGAAGTACGAGCTGTGGGTTAACATGCATTGCTGTGTCTGTAAGTCCACAATTCCTGAGCATTAACTGGGTAAGAACCTGTGATGCACATTGGTAACAAAGCATGCTATATGCCAGCACTGTGAACAAACATGAATTCTTAACTGTTCTCATGAAACCCAAAACTGAATTATTCCAGTTAAGGCCAGGTTGGACGAAGCCTTGGGTGAGATGGTTTAGTGTGAGGTGTCCCTGCCCATGGCAGGGGGGTTGGAACTAGATGATCTTAAGGTCCTTTACAACCCTAACTATTCTATGATTCTATGATTCTATGAAGGAAGACATACTGGAACTAGAGTCGTCTTAAAACCTTAAGTTTCATCTCTTTAAATTCACACTGTAAACTCCCTGGTTAGCAAGCAAAACATTGCAGGCAATCCTCAAAATCATAGAATCATGGAATCATAGAATGGTTTGGGTTGGAAGGGACCTTAAAAATGAACAGTACTACTGTTCAGTAACAGTAAATGATTACACATTCTAAATGTGATGGTATTTAGCAAATACTGGAAATGAATCATATGTGTTCTTCCCAATTCCTTTTGTGGGAGCGTGTAAACACCTTAAAATGCGCAGTTTCGTATCCGAGGTCTTATTTCCAACATTATGAAAGACTGCCCTAAAGTATTTAAACCTTGTGTTTTATCATTAAGCTGTAAGGAAAACTTACAAACATACAAAATTAAAGTGGTCACTGGAATTCTTTAGCTTTTGTGCAATTAAAGTGACCTAAAATGGCATTTCTAAGATACGATAACTATACAAAATTATTAAGCATTAAAATAGCTAGGAGCCTATTTGGGGGCAACAACGGCATGTGTTGGTGGCTTTGCCACAAACTAAAGCCAAAACCCAACTTCTTTTAAATCACATGAGAAATCCAATACTCTTTCTGAGGTGCAGTACTGTGTGTGTATATAAATAGAGGAAACAGTTTAAACCTACAACAAGGAAAATATCTTAAAAGTCCAGAAAGTTAATGAACAAGCAGTCCTTGTACTTTATCCTTATTCTTTTTCTACTCCTTTCTGTGCAAATCAGAAAAAGTAGAAAGTTAAGGCAGCAGTGGAAGACTCACCAAAATATATTTCAAGAAGAAAAAAGGATACTCAAATCGGTACATAAAAGATCAATAATGTTATACTGACTGTGGCAAGCAGAGTGAATATGAAGTCATGTGGCTCTGAGGCCTTATCTTTTAAGCTGCTCCTAATTAAATGCAGCTCTGCTCCTACTGGATGCTAAGGGCTTTCCAGGTTACTGCCTGTATTAAATGAAAATTAGATGCTTAATCTGTATGAACATTGCAAAGTTGATAGAAAAAAAGATAATGTGTGAAGTCTGTGTCAAAAAAGAATATTGCTGATTCATTCCAATGTGCTTAGACATTCCTGAACTCCAATGTTTCATCAGTACCTCATAGTATATAGGTCATAATCCTTAGCAGATAAACGCTTAATCCAAGATAAATCGTAATAAATCCAAATGAGATTAGACCTTTACTGACATATTCAACGAGCGGTGTAAAAACATGTTTGAGTGACTGTGATGCAGCAGTGGGAGTCACTGACTCAATTATGCTCAGAACTTCAGAGAAGTTGCAATAATAGTTAAAAGAAAAGCAGAAATTTGCTGGCAAGAGCCACTCAGGGGGCTCTTCTCCAGCCTCACTTCTGAACAGTATTCTTCTGATCTGTGAGTCTTCTCAGTTTAAATCAGTGCTCTGTCAAAGTCACCTACTTTCTGAAACAAATGTTTTATTTATCTCCTCCTCCCCACTCCTACTATTCTGAATCTGAATAAAACCTGCAGGAGCCTTAAGGCTAAATCATTCAGGGGATCCACTGGCACTGTCATTCCCTCTGTATTCAGTAGTTCAGGATATCTGGATGACTTATCAAGTATTTAAAATAAAGCACATCTCTGCACAGATCTTTAAAAAGATCAAAAAGCCATGTTAAAATTAATAGTGCTGTGACTAAAAGCTGGACAATAAGACTAGAAAAATTGTTTGGTGCTAGAATCAGAGATTGCTACACAGGTCTGGAAGCTTTACCTGGAAGAAATTTTGTTCCTCTTTATTTGTGATACAAGTATAACCCCTTAACCTGCCAACTGTACACACAGCTGTGAACAAAAAGCTGCTGTCTTGAGGCAGAAGCATTTCAGTTACATTTTAAAAAGGTTTTTTATTCTGCAATAATGAAACTTCCAAGAAATCCTAATAAAGAAAACCAATGTTGCCTTACATTGATCAATTGGGGGGGGGGGGGGAAATCACTACAGAAAATTATTACTTAATAAACTGTAACATGAATTAAACAAAATTTGGAATGAAGCTGTGTGGGTTCCATTAGTATTACTGAGCACACTCAGAGCGGTGATCCTGGGATACTGGCTTCGCGGGAGTTTCGACAGTGTGAGGAATTAAAAGTTGGTATCTGATGTCCTCAAAGCCTTTGATGCGTTTATACCTTTTACAGGTCAGTTGCAAAGATAAGCTTTGTAATGGCTTTCTATACTTACCTTGAAAAAGCACTTACACTCTTTCCATTGCTTAAAATAAATCTTCTGACAACATTTGCCATTTATTCTAAAAACGGCAGTGTACATTAACAATATATTGATTCAGAATGTTGTATTCTGAACAGGAGATCTCCCCATTGTACTCTAACAGCACCATGGAGCTCTCAGATTTTGTCACCATCTGACTTTAGCTACTCCTGCTGTTTCATCATCAAGTAAAACAAGCAAAACTGTGCCTTAGGTGTTATGATTCTTACAGTGATTGAGGTTAAGCCAGTTCTCATTAGGAAATCACGCCCCCTCCATTCAGTCCAGGTTTCTAAACTTCTGTAGATCCTGTTGTTGGCTGCTCAGGTTAGACAAAGAAACAGGGCGGACTGTGGGAGGAGTAACATGAATTAGGTGCTCAGGTGGAGAGAGATGCACAGACAAAGCAACACAGGTGCTTTTCTGGTTCACGTGTAGGATGAGCGCTCACTTCCTTTGAGTTACGGCGTCACATCATTCTCATTGCCTACAACATACGGCTCATTTTTCTGACGGAGAAACGTAAGTTCTTATTTTAGAAGGCACTCTTGTGTTTGGTTTTGCCATGTAATAAGGTATGAAGTAACATCAAAATGAACTAAATATTTTACTTTGTGTAGTACCTGTATGAATCATGCATTAGCAGTATTCAGCTGTGTCCGGGGTTCAGCAGTAGGAGTCATTTTTCTCAGTCTTAGCAGCTGGGCTTAAACCACGACAAGCTGTAAGAAACATCCACTCTTCTTGGTACTTGGGAGGATCTACGTAGAATTCTCTTTTCAGAATAGCATGCCACATAATCATCATCAGTTGTGGAACAGCTAATGACCTTTTGCTATACCCATGGTGAAATACTTGCATGGTAACCAGATCCAGTAGGAACTATAAAATGCTATATACATTTATTTGGAGTATTAAGTTGATTTTTTTTTTATTTCCTGTGCCCCCCTCCCCCCCCCCCGACCTAAAAAATGTAGCCAAATAACTGAAATATTGCATAGTGCAGACTCACTATACTGCAAGTAAAACTGTGCAAGAGATGTCATTTTCTTTAGGTCTACAGAGCTTCAAAGTGAACCGCTTTTAGAAAAGCCGTTGTCTAATGGGGTGATACCTTATCATTTAATGGCTTGATGCCCTTTTCTTCACTGTTGTTTGGAGCTAGACTTCTCAATTTTTAGAAATATCAATACCTCTTCAAAGGAAAGCTGTAGAGGCTGTAAGTCAAGAGGGATTCCTGCAATTCTCTCAAAACACACAGATACAGTGCACCTACAAGTTCAGCAACACTACTTTGGTACAGCAAGAAGTAGTTCTCTATCAGCACACTGTTTCGGGGTAGATGATCTTTAACACAGTGTGCACTGAGGACATCAAACTTGCATTCAGGAAAAAAAAGAAATAACATCTGAATTTAGCCTTCTCTGGATTTCTGACAATCACATTTTATCTCCACTTTTCAGTGTAATTTATGTATTTCAGGGGCTGCCTGCACAAAGCATATCACAGGTCCTCTCTGTGATAGTGTGTCTCTAAAACAAGAGGATTTTGACCAAACTAATAGACAGATGAAGCCAAACAAACAAATCCCTGCTATGCTAATTTCTGAAACAGATGGCTCTGATCCAGTATTTGCTAGCAAATGTAATTCACTGTCAATCTAGCACAGAATCGTGTATGTCTTTCTGTCATTCTGTATGTATAGCACATAGGGAGAAATCTGGCTCAGGATACTCCACCCACAGCTAAAATTATACACAAAGAACTGAAAATCAAAGTGCATAAACAAGCACAAATTCTGCTGTCCTTACTGGAAGCGGAGATTAGACCACTGTTTTGAAGCTGCAGGTACAGATCTTCAAAACACCTAAAGATGTTAGGGCTGTAGTCTTCCCTCACTTTGTGGTAAAAATACCCTTGAAATGAATGCAAGCTGTATACACGGGTTGCAGCATGAGAAAATACCAGGCAAACTATCCTGTAAACTTTTAAATTTTCTAGAAACCAATTTTTTTTATTAAATGCCTGAGGTTTTGTTACCTTTAATTCCTTGGAAAATAAAAAAGAAAAAAAAAAACAGATAAAAATGTAAGTAATTTCACATCCAGCCTCCTGACCAGGCCATGCAGTTGAAGCTGTGGGTCTAATTCAGCTTTCTGAGACAGGCTGTCTTTGCTGCTGGTGTACTTCAGCTAAATTTAGCCTAATGTTAAGAATGACCTACACAGCAAGGAAATAAACTGTTTGAAAAAATATAGGACAAAGCATATGTTTAAGGGAAAGCTTCCCACAATGTTCTATTTGTGGCACACGATCATACATTTGTGTCACATCATCTTATCCTTTCCCTGAGCATTGATTGAAAAAGAGGCTTTTTAACCTACTCAGAATTCTTCTTCGTACATCTTTACCGGCGAGGTTCACGGACCCGGTCGGGAGCTGGAGGTGGGGAGGGGGGGGGGAGCATCTCCGAGCACGAGATCGGAACAAACCCCCTCCTGCCTGCTGCACCTTATTTTCACTTCCAAACCCCGAGGCACCTGGATGCGTCGCGGCCCCGGGAGGGAGCGGAGCTGCACACACCCGCCGGGTACGTTACCCCGGCTCCGGTCCTTCCCTTCACGCACCCATCCACGGAGGTCACCCCTCCGCGGAGCAAACCGTCCCGCACACGGATACCCCTCTCTCCTCACCCTCCCTAATTGCCCTACAACCTCCCCTCTCCCCCTTGCTCAACGCGCCCGTTTGAGACTAAAAAGCCATTTCCCGGTCACCCTCCCCCCCCCCCCCCTTCCACCCGGGCGCTGCCGCTGCCAAGATGGCGGCTCCTCCTCACGCCGCTCCGTAGAGCTGCGCTGCGCCGCGCCGCGCCCCTCCCGGCTGCGCAGGAGACCCCGTGGCGGCCGCCGCCACGTGCTGCCTTCGCGCGCTGCCGGGCCGCGCGGCTTGTGCTTGGTATCCCCGCGGAAGATGCGCGTCCAAGCCGCGGTGAGAAAACACCTTCCTCCTCTCTTCTTTCTTTCTTCTTCTCCTTCTCTGTCTCCTTCTCCGGTTCTGCCGGGCGTGGAGGGGTGCGCAGAAGAGCGGGATCCCCTCTGCACCGGCAGCTGCGGAAAGGGAGTGTGGGTGGAGCGGGTGGGAAGAGCGGGATATTCCGGGATCGCTGTGGAGAAGGGGAGCCGGAGCCTTTTGCTTCCTCTACCCCTCACCCATCCTCCCCCCATCCCACCCCGTATTATGGTAGTCCCTAGACTAGGGTTTTTGGAAGGAAAATAACAGCCACCGGCGTGCTGCGGCTTCAGTAGCCTCCGCCGCCGCTCTGGGGTGCGGGCAGAATTGGGGGGGGGGGGGGGGGCTGCCTTTGCCCTTAGTGGCCGGGTGAGTTTAGAGCCTTGGTGGCATCAACCGGGTACGAAGGAGACAGGAAAGGTTAAACTGGCTGGTGTAGTGGTTGTGCTGGTGGTGATGGTGTCCGCTGCAGTACGAGTGTACATGGTGGAGTTGAAGAGTTTGAGGCTCAGTCTGGTTTACTGTGGTTAGTGCAGTTGTGATGGTTTTAATTATATACCTATGAGAGTATAGTTTTAATTGCATAATATTTATTATGGAAGTTAGCACTGGTTTGGTGCTGATAGCATTTATTTTCCTGCAGTGGACTGATGGTATTAAACATTCCAAGATATTAAAAAGGTAGCTTTGATGTAGCTGAAATGTCTGTTTGCTTCTTATTCTAGGTAGCCTTAAAAATATATATTGCTAAAATATGTGTTGTGAATGAAAATGTGTGTTAAAAGAATATATTTTTTTAAATACTCTCTTCAAGTGCTTCTTAAGTGTGATGGCCCCTCTTGGATAAGAGGTGTAGGCTTGTACTGGCTGTGCAGACTTGGAAGTAGAGCTGCCTCTGATGATAAATCATCTCCAAACGTTGCCAAAGCAAGGCTAGGATAATTCATATTGCATTACTTGTTGCATTTGTTTATCGGTTCTTAAGCAGGTCTCCCACTGGCTTCTTCGGAAGGTCGTTGTGCACAATGGCACCCTCAGCACCGCTTAAAGCTTCTATTGTCGTCTGTGTTAATAGAAGGTCACATAATACTATTTAACAGGTACATTCGAGGGTTTGTTTTGTGCCAACACTTGGCTGCTTCTTGTAAAGAGGGCCAGGGAGGGCAGTTGAGATTTTCTATATATGTATAAATGTATATTTATAAATATAAAGGAGGTCCCTCTTTTTTTTTCTTTTTTTTTTTTTTTTTTTAGTTTAAGAGCTCCAGAATGATACTGGAAGCCTTAAACAAGCGCCCTGTTCTAGTGGTTGTGAGAAGCAGAACCTGCAACATAAGCAGGAATGAAATTGATAGTCTAATTTTACTATCCACACCGAGTGACATATAAAATAGTAAGGAGGCCTAAATGGTCAAAAGTAAATTAGGTTTTTAAATTGGGTAATGTTTGAGGATGTTAGAGTATTACTGCATTTACTTCGTTGTTAATAGTCAGAGATGTTTTAGGAAAAAGTAAGGGAAGATAAATCATACCAAAATAATTTAAATGACACCTAAAAAAAATAATCAGTTAAAGTTTGAGGCTTACTGCTATACAGAGGAAGAAGCCTTTGCGCAGAAAGAAGCCTTTTACTTCATCTGTTGAATAGAAAAATGTAGGCTAGGGAGTAAGTGCTTGACCAGCTTTGGCTGTAGGGAAACTTGGGAATGGTCTGAGGAAATGGAGAATGGTCTGAGGAAATGGAGATTCCTGCATCGTTGCAGCTCAGTATTGCTAGTGAGATACATAGAACAGATATGCATGCTTTTAATTGAGTTTTGAAGGGGATTTGATACACCAGTGACTTTACTTAGCCGTCCACAGGAAGAACTTACATTTTTGTCTCAGTACAAAGAAATGCCTCAAATTTAGAAGTTTTAATGACTTCTGAGCAGTAGGTGTTTGCTGTGGCATTAGTTAAGACTGCTTCATGGATTCAGGATATCCTGGTTTATGTGGAGGGAAAAAAGGTGACACCCTGCAGCCATAATGCTCTGAAAGCTTTGTCAGGACAGCAATCCAGTGGTGGCCATACGGCCTCTAACGTTGAAAATGGGCATGGAAAAAACATTGCTGCGGGCAGCGAACTCTCCCTGGGTGGTTAAAGGGTTACCATGGGCTAATGTGTAGTGATATAACAGAAGAGAATTCTTCTTAAAGCCTGTCAATGTGTATTAAATGTGAGAGCACATTTAAAAAGTAGAGTTTTGGTTCCACATAGCTGCAGAAGTAACTTCCTGAAAGATGTTTCCTGCTAAGGTTTTGCTAAGCAGAAACAAGTTGACTTGTATCTCAAGAGGATGTTGGGTTTCATGCCAACACTGTGTTGGGGAGAGGCAGGAGTTGTTAATTGTAAATCATTTTGCTGTTCATTTTCTGGGATTGTGGGTAGGAATTCCTTTCTACCCATTTTTATTTAGCCTGGGTATACCTGGGGTTCTTACAGCTGGGAGTCAACAACTCTTTTATTAATTTTCTAGAAATAGATGTGGAGCAAATAAGTTCTTAAATAACTCTGGGTTGTGTCAGCATTTTTCTTTGCTTGTTTCTGTCAGCGTTAACTAACTGTTACTGTTCAAACCAGGCTGGTAATAGCCTTGAAGAATGGCAAAAGCAATGAGAATGGATGTATTTTCATGGAAAGGTAGTGTATAAGAGGAAAGAAGTAAAACCTTTAATATTACCAGTTAGATTCCCATTATCTGTAACTGCGTTTTGGCCTTAAGGGAAGTTCATACCTAACAGCAAAATCTGTGTGAAATAGCATCACATTTTTATACTGGTCTAGCTGCCTGGATAAAAGAAAGACATGTAGAGTATAGCATTATTGATGTAGCAGTGTATCAGGATCCATTTGTGGTAGCTGTGGATATGTTGAGAATGAATGGAGGGAATGTACAATAATTATAATCCTGGCCCTGTTAAGAATAGTACTGTCCTGAGCAGAAAAGAGTGTCTCAAAACTGTTGACAGAATATGCCTGTCATAGAAAGTTAAATCTCTCTGGTATTTTCTTCACTTTTTCTCAGTTTTTGAGGAATTTGGGTGGGAGGATCCTGTGTTTGAACAGCAAAGGGGTGCAGACAAGATGTAGGATTAAAGAGCAAGCTAAAAAATCATGACTAAACTCAGTAACAGTGACAGAATAATTGTGGTCACTTCCAATTAGCCTGTTTACTTCACAGTAGCAATTCAGATTTTTCTAAGGAAGTATATACGCTGGTGGGTTTTAATTAGCTCTCCTTGATTTCTTCGTACATATCTTAATTAAAAGTTTGGTTGTAGTTGTTAATTATGATGTACTTGTTTAGCCTTTTGTTTAGCCTTTGTTCTGTTCATGAATGCTGCCTTCAAACAGCATTGCTCTTACTCAAACATCTTGCATGATAGTTTTCCTTGGGGGTTATGGGAATGATAATCAGCCTTATGCTTGCTCTGTTTCCAGGTGCCAGTAAGAGAAAGTCTTTGGAAACAAGAGCTCAACAAAAAGGCATTTCATGTTCTACTGTGACCCAGTCCAGTTTGTCATTTAAAGCATTAAATTGCTTATCAGTAGCCTGAGCTGCTGGTGAGATTTTCATGTTTCCCCCTTTGCTTGGAGTTCAGAGTTCTGTTTTCAGTGTGTTTTTTGGTGTGGAAAGAGGCTCATAGTGGAGCATCTAAATGTATGTTGTACTTCTTGCAGCCTTCTCTATTTTGTCAGTTTGATTTTCTCCCCAAACTGCAGTTAGTATAGTATAGAAGCATGGAAAACTCTTAACCTCACACGAAAAGGAATAACATGTCAGGTGTAACAGTGTATTACTGAATTCAAAAAGCAATTGACTTGTGAACCAGGCTTGGTGAACCATTTTATTCACAATGTCTTTTCATTACTTATTCAGATAATTGATGCAATGTTTGAAGTCCCTGAAGTGCACAGAAGCATCTGCAATTTCATTG